GCTCCCGCTCCACCATATCCCGCTTGAAAATCACTTTGTAAAAGGTGGCGCTCACCGCTGCACTGAGCATTGGCGCTGCCCAGTATACCCAATGGTCCTGATAATCGGAATTCCAGACAGCTGAGGCAACAGCTTTGACAGGGTTCAGCATGGCACCAGTGTATTGACCCTAAAATTAGTAATTGTATTAATACATTTTATGTCTGTGTGATTCCTTTAGTTAGACCTTACCCCCGCGAGACCAAGGCAGGTAACGGTTAAGCCGAAGCGGATCGGCAATGAGTCTTGAAATGTAATGTTTCGTGAATCGGCCGCACTACAGGTGGTGATTATCAGCATTGCAGTGAGAATAAACTCAATCCAGAATCCTTGCATTGTGGTAATTTGTGGATGTGGTGTGGCAACGCATACACCATGCGCGGCGCCACCCAGCTTCACGGCACTCTCTGGTATTAATGCCATCATTAGAGCGTAACCGAGAAAGGCGCCAAGTAGTTGTCCCAAAAAATAAACACCTGCCATTGTTAGTGAGATCATGTCGTAAATGTAAACGGCCAATGTGATGGCGGGATTCAAATGTGCYCCACAAACGCAACCGAAACAATGTACGATCACCATTACTACTAAGCCAACCGTAAATGCCGACTGAAACACGCTGTGTTCGAAGCTGGCATTATAGGAACATCCCATACAGCCGAGAAATACCAGCATTGCGGTGCCGATTAACTCGCCGAGAAACTGGCATGTGTAATCAAAGGTACTTACATCTATATTCAATTTCTTCAAGCAACTGAAAAATGAGGAGTGGTTATCATTAATAATTTTCTACCGGAAAAGAAACTTAGCCTCAATGACTTTTTCTACTGAACTATTGGAATCGTATCACTTATAGACAACTTAAATYAAATTGGAATTTAATTGAATAAATGTATATATGTATATATGGTTACGTTAAATGGTCGTGGTATGTGGAACTCATATGTTATAAAAGTGATCATAAGTCTACGAAGCAGCTTGAGGCGATCTCAATATATTGGTTCGCCAAAGGTATAACCTTTATAACAGTTATTGCCGAAAATGTTTACATTCAGTCTTGTACAGCTGAGCATTGGATTAAAAAGTGGCTGAACGTTTTCATCTCACGTCCTTCATACAACATTCACAGTTTGCGTCCGACTAATCTATTAACTTAGAGCTTAAATGTCCATTGGACAATTACCAGGAAGCGTTGACGGGATTCCTAGGTTCAGTGCTAGAACGCAAAATTACAAAGAGGGATCCAACTTTTTCTAATTCCGATGTGAGCGGAGTAAGGATGGCCTTTCTTGCTAGTTCATAGGCTAAGCAGAGTCTGTAAAGCCCTTTCGAGGCACTGAACGAATACACCATGGAACATTATTGGCTTGACTGCCCCCACATCTTCCCTATAGCTCCTCTACAGAAGAGTTATTAGTATCATTAGCACGGTCATGCTTCCTCATGTTGTACTTAGTACGATACTTTAGTTTAGTTAACACGATGGCAGCACTTATATTGATAAACTTGTTCTGATACACTCACAAAACTCACAGCCTATTTATTGTAAGATTGCCCTTAATTGTGCCTACTAAGTCAGGTCAAGATAGATGAGGGATTTTTTTATACTCTCGCAACAAAGTTGCTAAAGAGAGTATTATAGTTTTGTTCACATAACGGTTGTTTGTAAGTCCTAAAACTAAAAGAGTTAGATATAGGGTTATATATACCAAAGTGATCAGGGTGACGAGTAGAGTTGAAATCCGGATGTCTGTCTGTCCGTCCGTCCGTGCAAGCTGTAACTTGTGTAATGATTGAGATATCACGATGAAACTTGGTACACGTATTTCTTGGCTCCATAAGAAGGTTAAATTCGAAGATGGGCAAAATCGGCCCACGCCACGCCCACAAAATGGCGAAAACCGAAAACCTATAAAGTGTCATAACTAAGCCATAAATAAAGATACTAAAGTGAAATTTGGGTGAAAGGATCGCATTAGGGAGTTTCATATTTGGACGTAATTTGTTTGAAAAAGTGGGCGTGGCTCCGCCCCCTACTAAGTTTTTTGTACATATCTCGGAAACTACTACAGCTATGTCAACCAAACTCTATAGAGTCSTTTCATTCAGGCATTTGCATATACAGTTCGAAAATGGAAGAAATCGGATAATAACCACGCCCACCTCCCATACAAAGGTTATGTTGAAAATCACTAAAAGTGCGTTAACCGACTAACAAAAATGGTCAGAAACACTAAATTTTACGCAAGAAATGGCAGAAGAACGCCGCACGAAGGCTTTTTTTAAAAAATGAAAATGGGCGTGGCGTCGCCCACTTATGGATCAAAAACGATGTCTCAGGAAGTACTCAACCGATTTCAATTAAATTCGGTATATAATATTTTCTTAACACCTTGATGACATGTACGAGAGTATAAAATGTTCGGTGACACCCGAACTTAGCTCTTCCTTACTTGTTTAATAATAAATCTGTTAATTTCTTCCTCGCATCCGGTTGGCTAATAACCGGATTCTTAGTCAAATAATTCACTTCATTCACTGTTGATGTCGCAATTTTGGGGGGATCGGTGATCAGCGTATCGCTGTTCGAATATACACAAGTATTCAATTTAAAACAAACCTTCTTGTCCATCGAATCGGCTGTGGCTCGAGAACATATGTCGGCTGTTGTAAGGATTCTACGCCCATTATATTTGAATTTTAGTCCCGTGCTGCCAACAAAAAACAACGTGTACCGCGCTTGAAGTGAAATTGAAAACTATCACTATAAAAACTAGCAAACGAAAGTAAATTAAAGGCAGCAATAAACCGATCGCACGATTCCTTCAGCCAATATTTCCAACTGATATAACGGTGTATCCATACTTATAGCAGTAATATTTGCACGCTGTCTGCCATACTAAATTTTGAAGTGTTTGGTAGTTGAGTTTTGCGTCGCTTTTGAGTTTATTTTAACTTAATCTTCACCATTGTAATGGAGTGCTCTATTGCAAATACATTAGGAAGGTTGGAAAATTACCCACATTTATTTTAATTAAGTTCCTAAGAAAACTTAAAATAAAGTGTGCATAAATATTCTTTGCACAAAAATGCAAACAGTTTGGAGACAAATCGTGAATTGGAAATGAGAAAAAAGATTTCATTGATTAASTAAATCATAGGACTAACCGCATCAGCAAATATGAAATCCTTAACGAGTATTTCTTGTGGTCACTGTTAAAACATTGGCGAAATTCGTCAAAGTCGTAACGAGTCAAATGTAGGGAATCGTGGACTGCTGGATTTACCTATTCCGTGCTATTCCGCTTTAAGCCACTTCTGGATTACCTTAATATTTAGTGATATTTAATGAGTGGAAACGGTAATTACGTCTTGGAAAGAAAGGACTTTTAATGCCTATTATCTTTTATTTGCATGGCTTATACTTATTACTTGTTTAATTATAAGTGGCCAGTCAAGTATTAGACGAGTGCTTACTTAATATTTTCACACAAAAATCGTAAAGTTCGTTTAATTAGTTGTTAACTGTATGGTACATCATTCTGGTCGTGCTAATTCAATAATTAAATTGGTAAGAACTTTAGAGGTTGTTTACAAGTTCATAGAATAGTCATTTCATTTCGGTACTTATTGGTAATGGCACTTGTAAATGAGGTTATTATTAATTTGAATTCTCTCTGCTGCCTCGTCTTGTTTTGAATTGTCTTTGYAATCTATCCAAGTACTTCTTCAAGCAGAAAACGTGTTAAAAATGTAACGATAAGCTCCTTAGTAATTTGTAAACACTTTGACAAATCTACTTATCTCCAAAGTCAACAAATGAAGGTGCCATAAAACCTTTAATATAAAATCTTAATTTAATTATTGAGAAAGACCTTAATAATGGATCAGTTTTAAAACTCTAGTTTTTAGATAAGAAGCAGCTCCTTTACATTGTCCGAATGTTATGGAATAATATTCAATAACACGAACGCCAAGGTATTATGCCATTTGACGGATACCATATGTTTTAAAAACTTTGTGGTATTAATAGGAGACACGTCTACTTATGATACTTAACGGCTAGGGGATAACTTGAAATGTGTACTTATTGTTAAAATATAACGAATGCATGAGAACAGAAGCAAACAATATTATACGAGTATCTAACTAAATCGCATCGTTATCGAAAACATCGTGAATAAGATKGTGAATATGAATGCATGTGAAGTATCGCCATATTGCCTAATTTTACCGTAGTTGTTAGAAGAAGAGGGTAGTTAAAATATGCCATTAATTAAAAAATGCTGTAAACAATTAAGATTGCTCATTGTGATTAAAAGCTACCCTATTTACAATTTATAAAATGAATAAAATTAAATTATTTATCAACTATATTGTCCACTTTAAAGTAATCTTCACCAGCTATAATACACTTATTCCAACTACTTTTCCATTCTTCAAACACTTTTCATAAGCACTTTTTGGGATGGTCTTCAGCGAATTTAGCGAATTTTGTGTTATCTCTTCGATCGATTGAGAATGGGTTGCAAGGAGCCAAGTTCTATTTGGGGAACAAGATAAAATCACACGCAGTCAAATCAGCACTGTATTCGGTGGATTGTTGATCCGCACACGAAATTTGTCCCAAATACAAAATTTGAGATAAATTCGATAAAACGATATTTTATCCATTGTAAAAATGGCGTCCCCCGACTTAAGGAGCTGCTATAACCAAACTGGTTGACAGATCGCGTTCATATTCGTTATAGTAATTAAGGGCAGTCCTTCCAACTTAGCAAAATACTTTTTTTGAAATATCATTTACCTGGGSAATACTTTTTTATCAGAATGTATATACCTAAAATCAATAGGAGTGGGAAGTTAGGAGCTATAAAATACAACTGAAAAGTAAGAACAGTGAGAAAGTATAGGTTAGCCAAATATGTCCCTTGCAAGACAATAGAACGAACAGGTACCCGGAAATAAATTCCTTACGTCATCCACTGCGTTTTACTTACATTTATACAGCCGTTATCAAAATAACAGGAGTGCTGTTTCATATCTATTTCTCTTCGCTGCAATATTTTCTTTTATTTTTGTTCTTTTTTCACCTAATTACTTTCAATATGAATGCAAAACATGACGCCCCGTTATAAACTTGCTACTTGCATAGCTGGAGACAGGAACAAAGACGATTAAATAATAATAATTTAACAGYACACAGCCCGAAGATAATTCTTTTCATACAAAGCAACACCTAGCAGCCCTGATTTAATTTGCAAAACGACACTTTGACTGGTCACCAGAAAAATGGCGTACCATATTATGGACAGATGAATCTAAAATTGTGCATGGTGAAAATCTGGTCGATAGTAGTCTTATCCCACGGTCATTGGAGCAGAGTATGAGGTCCCCCTTTGTGTTGATTGGCAGAGCACACTTAGGTTCCAATCAGCGGACATGCTTTCATGCTTCCATATTTTGCAAAGAAGCTGGTGCCTGCACCTTGTCAGTCCTTTGCTGCAGTATTTGAGTAGCTCCGCCGCTAATYCATCGGCCCCTGCTTTGTTGTTCTTCAGGCGGATAATTGCTATTCGAACTATATCATAGTCGAGCAATTGAACATTTATTCCATTGTTATCGACTAACAAATCGGCTGCRCGATCTTCAGATGWTACACTTTCACTGMYATTCAGCTGGAGAAATGTGTCCCTGTTCATATTGTGATCGATCGMAACATASCGAAGTAGCTTGTTCGCTTTCTCTCCACTGCAGCATGACAGTCGTCATTGTACTGGCTGTTCTTACGACCTTTACGTTCACGTTCCTAGACACCGAATATTTAAAYCCCGATACCTATACTTGACTTGTGATCGAAAATGTTTGTCAATGTGTGAGATATATAATTGAAATTAAGGGATAATTTTTCTCTTATAATGGTATGTCTGTATGTCAAAAATAGYTTGAATTGGACAAATACTTCCCTTGGCMCCTATATATCACATATAAAGATTTTCGGACTTCYGGGTGACTTTGTATTGCATATATCAGCCAATATGTGAGCTATCTCAACGAAAATGAGAGAGTGCGTTTTACTCATAACAGTGTATCTTTTTGGCAAAAATAGATAAAAGTGAACGAAATCTTGACCTATATAACTAATATCAGGATTTTCGAACATCTGACTTTACTCTATAAGGTAGCTGTTTTAGTATGTGGCATTTTAATAGTATGTGGTATTGGGAAAAATATATYAAAACGGGTCGATAATACCCCAACTCCACACTACATATAAGGATCTTCGTTTTTCTAACAAATCTCATGCTTTTGTCAGTTTATGCGCTATATTTTTAATATGTATATATATATAGTACAATTGTTTGGATTTCGATTTTCTGGTTGACGTTTTACACCTTAWAGTATTTCCTTGGCTTTGATCCTTGCAAGTTGTAATAGTATAAAATGTTCCATTGCACCCGAACTTAGCTTKTCCTTACTGGTTTGTTTATATTTTTTCATTACTGACTATGTAAGATAAAAAAAACAAGTAAGGAAGGGCTAAGTTCGGGTGTCACCCAACATTTTATACTCTCGCATGATAAAGTGATAATCGAGATTTCAGGCGTGGTTGTGAACCGATTTCACCCATATTTGGTACATGTCATCAC